AAACTCTTTTCTGGCTTCTGCCAGCACTTGTATACATGTGGCATAAGTTTGCACAAACACACACAGAAATAAAAATAAAAATAATTGTTAAAAAAGCAAAAGACATTATCCACTATTTAACACGCTATTATTTTCTATCTGTCCCTGTTTCTGTCCATTTCATTTTTTAAAACATAAGCATTCTTCATAATCAACTCAATAAACAATTTCTTAAACAATTCTCAGAAACTTTAGAAATAGAAACATTGTACAAATATAGTTGTTAACTCAGTTTAGATGTATCTCATATTGTTTTCTAAGATACTCATTTTTTTTATTTCAGTGACCATTGGTATTCTGAATTTTGCATCTTCTAGAGAAGGAGTCAGCTGACCATGCATATATACCACCATCTCGGCATTCTGGTGCAATTCACTATCCCCCACTAGCACTAATCCAGCACCTCTCAGGTCAGAAGCAGTTTCACTCTTGAGTGCTGCCATTTTTGTCCTCACATGACTTGCCCCAATGTACTTTAAATTTTTAGAATTTATTTATTTTTAGATGTGTATGTGTGTGTGTGTGTGTGTGTGTGTGTGCATGTGCACACACATGCTTATGACTGTAAGTATCCACAGAGCTCAGAAGAAGTTATTGGATCCTCTGCAGCTACACGGAAGAATTCCTGTGGTGTTACAGGTGGTTGTAACCCACCATATACATCATGTAAATTGTGGGAAAAGAACTCATGTCCTCTATGAGAGCAGAGTTCATTCTTGAATGTCGTTCCAACTACATGATTTTGTGTTTTTAAATAGCAAAAATAGGTCAAGAACAAACACCTTGAAGCAAGTACTACACATCCAAAAGTCTTTGGTGAGTAGGAATTCTTGATAAAGAAAAAGGAGCTTGAACACTTCTCAAAATAGCCTGTCTCTTGATAATTGTCTATTGGTCTCAAAAGAATATTGTATCTCATGCATTCCATTAAAGCTTAACGTTGTTAGTATTGTAAGTCTACTTTAATGATATCACTGTAATGTTAACCTTTTTGGTATTGTAAGTCTACTTTAATGATATCACTGTAATGTTGAAAAGTTCATGTGTGAATTCTACTTTCTGCATATTGAAATGGCAGGAACAATTTTGGATCCCATAAGAGTCGAATAAGTATTGTCCCTTTCAGGCAGTGATTGTGAGAACTGGTCTTCCTTTTTGAGTCCATTGGCCATTAGCTCAGTGGGACTTGAACATGCCTGGACACTGAATGAATGTTTACCATTGATCCACATGAAGAAAGTGATTTTTAAATTAAATTAAAATAAATTATTTATATATTAATGTTTGCTGAAGTTCTATGTTCTATACTTGGATGCTTTTTATGAGTTGCCATTGCTTGAAATTCTTATAAAATCTATTTAAATTAAAAAAATATGAACATAGTCAAAATTGGAGACTAGAGAAGTATGAGGGACAGGTAAGACTCTTGTCTAAACAGCAGATTCAGGAAGGTGTATTTGGCATTACTGTGGATAAAAATGGACTTTGAACACATCTCTAGAATAGCAGAGCTGTCTCTAGTGGAAAAGAAAAAAGGTGGAGGGAAGGTGATAAGCTAACAGTGTTCATTAGCTTCATGGTCATTTGTTTACATAGAAGTTGGGTGGATCTTAAGGAATGAACATTGATTATTATAAATTTAATCAAGAGGCAACTCCAGTTATACATGTGTTTTTCAACAACTGTCATGTTGCTATTGGTCTGGAAAGTATACTTTTATCTCCAAATAATCTTCAAAGACCACCAAAGACAGTTTTTTATCTATTTAGACCAATTATGATTTATAATTGTTTGGCAAGTCAAATTGAGACTCTTATGCTCTGTGCCAAGATTAGCAGATATCTGTGGTCTTAATATCTCACGTAACATCACACTATCCTTGTTTTTATGCTGAATTAATCAGATGTACAGCAGAAAGCTACTTCCATAGATGTCTTACTAAGATGTAGAAGAGCTAGCAGCAGGGAAAAATTTTATTCCAGGTATCATTCAGCATCCTGTCACAAAAGAGTATTCTCTCCATATATTAAATACTGAGAGCTTAATGTAAGGAACTGGTTAAACAGACGTTGAATAATTGAACAAATAAAAGAGGAACATCAGTATTAATCAAATTAATACTGCAGTTGATGCTTCTAGAAGTAATTATCAACCCTGTTGTGGCTATTAAGGTGATAAGAACCTGAAACTCGGAGGCAAATCTCTACTTATTCTGAATTCTGAGCAGAGGGTATCCATAGATGTTACTGAGGAACCATCCTAGAATAAAATCTGGGTTTTAGATATCTAAGGACTACAGCTTCTGAGTATTTACTAAAATCTCTGTGAAAAGTATGATGGAACCTGTTGTGAGTGCTAAATATGTATGGCATACCAGAACCAACTGCCATTGTCAGATATCTGACACTTCGTTGCTGGGGTAATGTGGACAGGAACAATAAGCAAATGGGAAACAGCAAATCTTGTCTCCCTTCCTCTGGCCTCCTGTGCTCTACAGTTCCATTATCGACAGAGTTTACCCAATACTTAGCAAAAGAGAAATAAAACTGAAGAATTCCAGCTACAGAGTGAAAAAGAATATGTTGTAACAAATGCGTTTGCCTAACAATTGCCACATTCATTATAGAAAAACTTTAGCTTCAAAGTAAGACTTCACAATTAAACTCCAGTGGATAATTACTTTGCCTTTGCATTACCACTCAAATCTTAGGTTAGCCCTAATGCATAAACACTTTCTGTAAGCGTAATATGTAATTTATTTCCTGAAATTCATAAAAACTATCACATTTCTATCCTTTTGCTTACATTAGTCATTTTGTGTGGAATTTCCCACTCTTATGCAGTTGATTTTCATGATCAGAGAAACAATAATTTATTGCAGTGTTGCCTGTATCCTCTAATGCTCTAGAAACTACATAGTTGACTTATTTATTTAATCCTCACAACAATGCCATGTTTACCGTTTCCATGTTTTGTAAATTATGGTGGTTAAATAACAAACCTAAAGTCCCATAGATGATTCAAAGTAGAACAAGTCCTTTAAAGCTTGTGTCTTTTAAAAAAGGTTTTGTTTGTGTGTGTGTATGTGTGTGTGTGTGTGTGTGTGTGTGTGTGTGTGTGTGGGAGCGCGAGCCTCTAGACATGAATGCAGATGCCTACAGAAGCCAGAGGGGTCAGATTTCCCTGAAGCTATGTATCTTGTTGTGAGCCACCTGACATGGGTTCTAGGAACCGAACCCTGGTCCTTGGCAAAAGTAGTAGGTACCTTTAACTGCTGAACAATTTCTCCAGGTCCTAAAGCTTGAGTCTTAATCTACTCAAAATACTACCTTATGAAAAGTCAATTCAATGGTCACTTCCATTAAGCAGATTTTCTAGACTCCCTCAGGCCAAATTACTCATTCTGTTGATAGCCCTAAATACTTGAACCATGTCAGAGCGTGTCATTGTATGTGATCTTTTCATTTATATGAATATTCCTGTATTTCTTATGAATATGTTCCCATTGGGCTGTCCAACAGTCCTATAGTGATGGAAAAGACTGCATCAATGCTACCCAACATAATAGACAAGACCACACCTGGGTACTGAGCAAATGATAGACAGTGCTACTGAATTCATTGTGTTTAAGGATTTAATTTTAACTATAAACAGCTCAATGTGACTCAGGGCTATTACACTGGTAATGAAAATCTAGCTCTTAGCTTACTATAGTTCCTCAAAAAAGGTCATTGACTGAGTGAACCATTGATGGGAAATACCTTTGGGGAAAGAGAAAACGTGTTGTTTCTTTTTTTAAAATCATTTTACTCCTTTAAAAATTATATTCATTTAGAGTATGTGGGGATGGGGCACACACCACTGTGTGCATGTAGAGATCAGTGGACAACTTTGTGGGAGTTGGTTCTCTCCTTCTACCAAGTGAGTTTCAGTGATCGAACTAAGGTAGCTAGGCTTGGCAGCAAGTATTTTAACACTCTAAGCCATCTGTACAACCATATACAAATTCACATTGGTTAGTTTATTAATGAACATTCAAAATACTGTTATATAGAGCACCAGGCATGCTTTATGTCATATGTTATATAATAATCAATATGCCATGTTATATTATTGTTATAAAGATTTTTAAAGTATCTTAATAGTTTCCTTGTATAACTATTTCATCTATAATTGACCTGCCCACCCTGTAATCATTATTTTCTACATCACTTGCTAATGAATTCCAAGTCTCTAGATCAGTTCCTGTCATATAATAAGGTCTCGATAAATACTGAATTAATGTGTGAATGAATCATACAGTAAATATTTAATCTATAAATTGTTTTAAAATAAGCTGGGCGTTGTAGCACACGCCTTTAATCCCATCACTCAGGAGGCAGAGGCAGGCGGATCTTTGTAAGACCCTGTCTCAAAAAGACCAAAAAAAAAAAAAAGAAAGAAAAAAATGTGATTCGAACAGATCTTATGATTGAACTTGATGTAACAAAACAAATAGGTATGCTATACCGCTACATTTTAAAGAAATTCTTTTTCAGCTGGCTTATTGAAACAAAACCCAGCCGCCCCCCAAACCCCCAAACTATTCCTGTTGTCTGGGACTTTCTCAGAACCCTCTTCAAAATGCTTAAAGGAACATAAACATTCGACTGGAAGCTCCTTAAAATATCAAATTTATGAACCAGGAAACAAAAAGAAATCTCTCAGTTTGTTGCCAGTGAAGCCAAAAACTGAGATTGGAAGCCCAATTTAGGGCGTTAAGTTCCCCATACTGTTGTTCTCATTCAAAAGTCGAGAGATTCCAAATCCCAACCCATTGCTTGACATCCTAAACCTCTGGAAATGGAGAGGGAAACCCAGATCAACAGCTACCACAAAGACAGCTGAGGCCGAGGCCCCGCCCCTTCCCTGCTTCGGTTCCATCCCTTTGCTGCTGTTGCCATAGACACCTAGAAAGCGGGATGGCTGCTGCCGGCCAGAAGGAAGATAGCTTAACTCTGCCGGCGGTAGCCCCGTCCAAGTCACCCTCTCTTTCCTCATCACCTGTAATTCCCATCTTAGTGAAGCCCAAGAGGTGTCTTGTGTATTCGCATCCCGCGAAGAGCTCCCGCGTGTCTCGCTGTGTCCTGCGCTGGCTCCAGGGCCTGGATCTCAGCTTCTTCCCCAGAAACATCTGCAGGTGCTGGAGCAAGCCAGACTGCGCCCCGCCCCCAACCCTCCCCACTTCATGCCATACGATATACAGCCTGCCTGAGACTTCAGCTCAGGGTCCCCTAGACTTTGAATTGCCCTCCCTGGCCTGGTTTTTGTTCCTGGTCTACATCTAGTTCACTCTCCATGTAGCGCATAAACGGGAAAACAACGCATGCACGCGAAAACAGAGCGTGAAGCTTAAGAGAAACCCGATGAAGCATTTCGTTCATTGGTTTATTCAGCCAATCATTAAATTGTAGGCTTAAACTAACACGGAATGCTTTGGTACTACAAAATTCCTGAAACAGTCAACGATCAAGGGTTCTTTGTATAATATTAGTGAGGATCAATTTGCCATCCCTTAGAAATGGCACCTAGTTTGAGCATTATCTGAGGTTTAGAAAGCTTCCGTTCAACTGTAGCGGCCCTGACGTTATTGGCAGTTAATACAGAATGCGAGCTAAATTCCATGAAAATGAAGACCATGGGTCTTTTGCAGGAAGAACTCTGGTTCACTAATTTTGGGAATCTGTTTTTCATACAAACGTGTGTGTAACCTACATTGCTCATTTGAAGCACCTGGGAATCTTGTTAATGCTGGTAATTTGAATTTGTTAAAAGCACCAAATGTTTAGACAATAATTTTAGCAAACTGCTTTACTACTGTAAATCCTTCTCAGAGCAATGACCCATGACAAATTTTCCAAGATACTTTATCAGTATGAAGTATTAAAGTTCTATTAATTATAAAATTGGCAAATTTATATTAACTACACTTTATTATTTCTTATTTTTATGGATCAGGGATTTTTCAAATGGCTATTTGGTTGCAGAGATATTTTGTATATATTACCCCTGGGATCTTAGATTATCATCCTTTGAAAATGGGACATCTTTAAAAGTCAAGTTGGATAACTGGGCACAGATAGAGAAGGTAAATTAGCAAATTAGCATCCCCTTGCCTATGAATTTTGTTTTAGAGAGTGTGCTCTGCATGGATATTTATGAGTGTGTCTGTGACTATGTCTAGGTTAAAATGTTACTAACTTGACAGCCTCCTTCACAAACTGCAACGTTTATCAAATTCTAATTGTTTATGTCATGAATAGCCTATAAAACTGAGTATATGCTAAGTAACATAGGATATAATAGTAGTTTTCTTGCAGAACAACAGTGTATATTGTTAACGTGTTAAACATAAAAATTTAGCTCAGAGAGGAGGAGTTACTGAAGTAAATTCTAAGTATTTGACTATTTTATAGAATTTTTAATGATGAGAGTATTTTCTTTCTATTATTCTTCCTATTCTATATTATTTCTATATTTAAAGTTTCTCTCAAGAAAAAAAATTAAACTACCTAAAGAACTAATCCATGGAACAATTCACTGTAAAGCTGGAGTGCCTGAAATACTGATACAGGAGGTTTACACTTTACTAACACATCAAGAGTAAGTGATCTGAAATTTTCTAGAAATTTTAAGTTTTGAGGATATACATCTCACTAATGAAATGTGGCTTGTCAATAACATTTTGTTTCTTATTTCCAGAATTAAAAGTGTACAGGATGACTTGGTAAATTTCACAGACTACAGTTACCAGATGCGGTTGCCCCTGGTTCCTAGGTCTACAGTTTCAAAGTCTATTAAAGATAACATTAGATTATCAGAATTACTAAGCAATCCTAATATGCTCAACAATGAACTTAAAATTAAGTTCCTTTTCCTTTTGCAAATGTTGCAAAGAAAATTAAGCAGAAAACTGAATCCAGGTAAGTTTTCCCTGAAACAGGTGAGTTCTTCTAAAATAAATGAGGCTAGTTTTGAGGCCAGGTTAAAGAAAAGCCTGCAGTGGGCTGACATTACTGGAACAATTTATCTCCCTATGCTTGCTTTTCTATGGAAGCACAAGTTACCAGGGTGTGCTGGATAGAGTTAGCTGTCAACTTGACACACTTGGTGGAGAGAACCTCAATTGGGCAATTGCCTCCATTGGACTGGCTTATGGCCATGTCTGTGGGATGGGTATTTTCTTGATTTTTGAGTGATGTGGGAGGGCCCAGTCCACTGTGTTGGTGCCACCCCTGGGCAGGTTGTCCTGTATTGTATAAGAAAACAAGCTGAGCATGGGCTAGGGGAGCAAGCTGGTAAGCAGCATTCCTCCATGACCTGTGCTTCAGCTTCTGCCTCTAGGTTCCTGCCCTGGGTTCCTACCTTGGGTTCCCTCAGTGATGAACTGTAACATGAGAGGTGTAAGCCAAATAAACCCTATCGTCCCCAAGCTGGTATTGGTCAGAGTGTTTTGTCACAGTAATTGAAAGCAAACTAGAACAAAGGGGGATGGACACATATTTTTAGATAAAATAATTGCCAATCTATTAATATAAACTTATATGGGAAATAAATTTACTTATCAACTCAAGTAACTCAAGAGAAAGGAATATTTAAGAGTCAAGCAGGTAGGGAGAGCTTAGATTACCATGATTCAATTTGGATGTTGTTTAGGAGAGAATGGTCAGAGGTATTTTTTTTCCTTAATAGCCTTGTTACTATGTGGATGGTAGGGCAAACTTTCCAATTTTAAAATTTACTAATGTAATTTAAAGCATACAAAGCTTATTCCCTCATTTCCATCAGTTGTCCAGGCAAGTAGCAAAGTAAATGAAAATGATATTCTATCTCCACCTCTATCTCTGTCTGTCTTATCTCCCTTGATTCCAGACATCTAGAGATCTCGTCATTTCAGTGGCACACAAACTAGTCAGGAAAATATATATCTCATTAGCATTTCTGTCCTTTGAAATACATTTCCTGAAGAGCCGTTTTCTCTCTGCTTCCAAGAGGAGGAAGGCAGCAGCTTCAACTCTTCTACAAGCTGTGAGGGATAATTTGGGTTTTGTCTTCCCTTACCAGATTCACTTTTAGCCTCCTGTGTTTCTTGTTCCTCTTTCTTAATTTGTTCTGCTCTCTGGTTCTGCTCTTTGATTTGTGAGCAAAGAAAGTATACAGGTTATTAATTCTCTTGTAGGAATTCATATTAAAACATCTATTTCAAACATTAAAATTTTGCTACAAAATATATCATACACCCATATATATAACATATGAATAATTTAAGGAAGCCTAATAAACAGTGAATATGTATTTGTGCAAGTTTATGCAGTTTAAGAAATGTAGTATTACCAATACCTTTCCCTTTCCCTGTTGGCTCTTGATTGAACTCATTGCACTCTCCTCCCAGGGAAACTACTGTCTTAACTGCTTTTGTTTATAGTTTCCTAGATTCAAATGAAGTTAAACTATGAATACTATATATATTTTATACTTGGTTTCATTCACTCACAGACGCACATACACAGGTATGTGTATATAATTTGTGTACATATGGTAGTAGGGATTGAACCCAGCTCTTGTACCTGCTAGGAAAGCTCTCTACTACTGAGCTATATCCTCACACCTTATGTATGTTTCTAAATTTTAGTGAATTTTATTGAACTTTATAGTACACAAAATGTCTTCACATCTGTGTCCTAATCTTTGATAAGTAGAATTGCTACACTACATTGTAAACAGGCTTTTGAAGATATAACTAAAGCATGGGCCTTAAAAGAGGAAATGAGGGGGCTGGAGAGACGGCTCAGTGGTTAAGAACACTGGTTGCTCTTGCAGAAGACCCAGGTTCGAATCCCAGCACCCACATGGCAGCTAACAACTGTCTATAACTCCAGTCCCAGGGGATCCAACAGCCTCTTCTGACCTCCACTGGCCTTGCACGACATGGGTGCACTTACCTACATGCAGGCAATACACGCATAAACATAAAAATAATAAAATTTAATAAAATGAAATGGGAGCTTAAAAAAGGAAATGGATGAGTCTAAATCACTTGAGCCTTCATAGGCAGGAATCTTTATTTGACTGGAATTAGAAAGACACAGCAGGAGACTGTTGTCCGGGGGACATAGAAAACATGAAATAGTATGCTTCTAGGAGAAAAGAAGTATGTTTGGCTTATGGCCAGCGGAGAATAGGGAACTCCAAACATAGATGAAAAGACATAGATTCTGCCAGCAGGTGGAGTGAGCTTGCAAGCTGATTCATCACCAGTTTCCTGCTGATACTTAAATCTCATTCTTGCAAGACTCCAAGAAAAGGATTCAGATTTCTTTTTTTTTATTTTCATTTTATGTGTATGAGTGTATTGCCTGCATATGTGAGTCCATGTCCTGTAATGCTCTCAGAAATCAGAAGATGGCATTTGGATCCCCTGGAACTGGAGTTACAGATGGTTGTTAGCCACCATGTGGGTTCTTGGAATCAAACCTGGGTCTTCTGCAAGATCAGTCTGTGGTCTTAACCACTGGAGGACTCACATTTCTTTCCTGAGACAAAAGGGGCTATTATAAATACTTGTGGTAGTACCACTTTTTGAATGGTCTATTCTTGCCCCGTTGCCGGAGTTCTCTCGGGGTCACTTGCACTATCAGATAAACCATATAACAAACTTTTATGTGAATTTATTATAGTTTATACCATGGGGGTGGGGAGTAAGTCACAAAGAGACAAACAACTGTCAGAGCTGGCCATTCCAGATCCCAAGCGTGCCACTCCAGATCGCTTCTGCACCTCTCCCTTAGTCACCGCTAGCTTTCACCCAGGCCTCATGGGCCTGTAGTCTCGCTCCAGGCCGGCGAATGCCAGGCCATTCATTCTCGCGTTCCCAGTGTCATGGCTCCTACCCAAGATGGTGCAAAAAGCCCCTTCTCCTGTGGCTAGCTCTCCACAGGCAATTCTCCTCAGCAGGCCCCGCCCCTTGGCAGAAACAGGCTGTCCAGGACTCACCCCCACTGACTCATATGCCTGCTTAAGCTACAGCTTCTGCGTATCTAGTCACAGGAGCTCTCAGTCCACCCTTGTCTAAATGGGTGCTCCACAACACCCAGATTTATTTATAGATCATGAAGTTCCCAAACTTGTCCTTCTATGAAGTGACCTGTTGAATGGACCTTGGTTATTTGGTTTGCATCGACTTCTCCATTGGGTCGTTAGTATCACCTATTGTTAGGTCTGGATTCACCTCTATCATAATTGTTTAAGCTTTTTATTTTTCACCTTTTCTGTTTCTTATTTGCCTTTTAGTTTTTCATTTGGACTGAATACTTTCAAAACATTTTCTGGTATTAATTTTGAAAATTTTCAACTCTTCAAGGCTAACCCAGAAATTTTATTATGTAATTTTTCTTAGTCTAAAATTAATCTTTGTCCTCTTCTGTAAGCTAAGAAAGCTAAGAATACTATGATCAAGTTCTTAAATTCTTTGTCAAGCATTTTACTGTCTGTTACTTTAGATGTTGTTGATGTTGCTGTTTTATTGTGGGATCTTTTGTTTTGTTTAGTTCTTATCTTTTTGGATAGTGCAATCTAGGCTGTCTTGGAACTCACTGTGTAGCTCAGGGTAGTCTGACTTCCATGGTGATCCTCCTGCCTCATCCTTTCAAGGCTTATAATTAATGATATACCACTCACAAATAGATTACTTTTATTATTTATTTATTTAGAATAATATTTTTATTCTTTGTCTCAAAGAATAAAGTACATTTCATACAATGTATTTTGATTATATAAACCACTTCTACCACTCTATACACCTAGCTTCATGTCTCTTTTTTTAAGCATGTAGAGTTCAATTTATGTTGTCCAAATACTCTTGGGTGTGGTTCTATTCCCTGGAGCATGGTTGACCTACTATGGGTCACATCCTTAAAGAAAACCAACTCTCCTTCCCCTAATTTCCAACAGCACCTCAGCTAGGAGTGGGACTTCATACCCACTTCCCCACTCCATGCTGGGATTTTATCTAGCTTGAACTTGCACATATCTTGTGCATATCATCACAACGTTGTGTGTTCATATGTGCAACTTCTCTGTTCTGTCTAGAAAACACTGTTTCCTTGTATTTATCTAGTGCCTCTGACTCTTAAAATCTTTTAGGCTAAAAACTTGCTGTTTTATTCAATTTAAAAGCTCACCTTTGCCATCTGGATCTCATTTACTTTTGGGAAGAACTTCTCTTTAGCCATGAGCACCTTTCTAATTCTTGAGTAGTGTTATATTTCTTGTGTTGATTCTAAAAATTTTAGTTATTGTATGATATGTGTATAGTGACATGGGAATATCACGATGCTCTTACAGTGGTCAAAGGGCAATGTCATGGAGTTGCTTCCACATTTACTTCAGTTTAGGGGATTGAACTCTGACCATCAGGCTTCCATGGCAAGTGCTTTACCTACTGAGCCATCTTACTGGACTCATTTTGATTCTGAAGACTGTTGACTCAAAGCTTCTTATATATTGCCAAAGTACCTGATAGTAATGCTGGTTGTGAGAATGTTATCGATAGTCTGTTTCAGTCTACGAGGCCATGACTCATGAGTAGGAATAACCTTAGAGATGGAAGAACTACAGGGGGGAAATGAACTTTAGGAGTGATGAAGAGAAATAGCCTAAGTGCTCAAATTTACAAAATTAGTTACAAAACATTTGAGAAATGGAAATAATATTGCCACTATTTATAGTATGAACATAAGTAAAATGCAATGGGTGTTGTAGAATTTAAATTAGCTGCAGAATAGATAAAACTAATTTACAGTGATAGCTGTCAGGACAGTGTTTTCCATGTAGGATATTTTCTGGGAGACAGTGGAAGGATTTGGGGGTACTGGTCTTTTTTTATCTGGGTGATGGTACCCTAGGTGTATTCCAAAAAAGATCATAAAATGAATTAAACTTATAATTAATTTTCCTTTTTAGTATAAGCTCTTGAATAAAACTATATAAAATCTAGTTGGAGAGGCCAGTTAAATGGTTTCGTGGGTAAAGTTTTTCTCCAAGCCTGGCAACCTATGTTGGATCTCCTGATCCTACAAGGTCAAAGGAGAGAATCAACTCTTGAAAATCATACTTTGATTTCCACAAGTGGACTGTGGCATGCATACTCCACCCCCCGACACACATGCAGACGTGTGGGGGTAGTAAGTAAAAACAAAAATGAAATAAAACCCTCTTAAAGGGAAAAAATACTTATTTAAAGTAACGTTTTAAGGTGTGATAACTACTTTGTGCATCAAAGATTATGAGGAATTGGCTAGTCAGTTAGGGTAAAAAGACCCCAAAGAAAAGTAGCCAGTTTCTTGGCTGAAAGTCAAAATGTCCTTGGGCATCTTAGCAACTTACAATGTTTCAAAGGCCAAAAATGTCAAAAGTATTTAGGAGCTCTTACCTAATCTCTAAGAAATTGTAGGGTCACCTCTTCAGAGGGGGAGAAAGAAAGAAAGAGAGAAAGAAAGAGAGAGAGAGAAAGAAAGAAAGAATGAAAGAAAGAAAGAAAGAAAAGAAAGAAAGGAAAAAAAGAGAGTAGACAAGCTTTTCAGAAAAAGGTGATGGGGAGATATGGGAGGTTGGAGGGGACAGAGTGAGCATGGATTTAATCAAAACACCTTATGTGCATATATGAAATTCTCCATAAAGTTTTTTTTAAGTTAAAAAAAAGATTATGAGCAACTGAAGCAGTATACTCACACCACTCTAAAGAATATGATAAAAGAGGTGTTTAGATAATTTCCTTAATTATTAAAAATGTCTTTTTTGATAATTCTATCATGACTTAAAAATTAACTTTTATATTTTATAGGATGGTTTGATATCAGACCAACAATAGGAGAAATTACAATTGATCATCTTCCTGTCGACTGTTTTGGACGCAGAAACAAAGGAAAGGTTTCAAGGGAAAAAGCTGTTTTACGTAAGATTTTAGCTTTTTGTCTGATAATGTGGGTTTTTAAAAATTGTTCCATTAAAGTTTTAGAATAAGTTAAAATAATGGTCTGAACCAACATTCAATCTAAAACCCTTAGGGTGTTGCTGTTACAAGTAGTGCCACAGGCAAAGATCTTCCAACCCTAAACTCCTGAAACCATCCAAGTTCTCCAGTTCTCCTTTATCCTCAATTATGTGTCTGAAACATGTGACACTGTGGGCAGAGTTAAAAATCTCAGTTCTCCTGTGGTTGGATGATCAGCCAGTCTGGAGGCATATTAAGATACTTGGATTTCTGAGCTGGGCATGGTGGAGCATGCCTTTAATCCCAGCACTCAGGAGACAGAGGCAGCCAGATGTCTGTGAGTTCAAGGCCAGCCTGGTCTACATAATGAGTTCCAGGCCAGCTGGGGATACAGGGAAACCCTGTCTCAAAAAGACCGAAAAACAAACAAACAAAACCCCCCAAAGATACTTGGATTTCTGGACTTCTCCATAAGTCCAGAATGTCGCCCCAGTATGGGGACACTTAAACCTTGTTAATCCAGAAAGCATTTGAATTACAGCAAACCACAGTTCATGGATAACATTCAGCCTGCCACCTGCTTTTTTGTGTCTCCCAAGTTAAGAACGGTTTTTATAGTTTTAAAGGTTGAAAAAAAAATCAAAGCAGTATTTGTAGACACGTGAAAATGATATGCATGTTTCTGTTTTCATAAATGACCAAGGAGATGTCCACACAGGTTTGTTTTCTGCTCTATAATACCAAGGATGAGTAGTTGTCCAAGAGATTTTATAGCTCACAAAGTAGAGCTGCTAGATTTAGCTAATTAGAACCAAGGTAAGACAACGTATTTTTTTGTTGTTTTGAAACATAGTCTTACTTCATAGCCCAGGCTGGTTTTAAATTCATGACCATTCTCCTGTCTCAGTTCCCTGAGTGACTGGATTACAGAGCTATGTTGCCAACAACAGATTTAGTTTATAGTTTTTCTCCATTTTTTTTTTCTTATTTTGGTCCTTTTTGAGACAGACCTTCCTGTAGCCCCAGCTGGCCTGGAACTCACTATGTAGACCAGGCTGGCCTGGAACACTGAGATCCCCTACCTCTGCCTCCCAAGTGCTTTGATTAAAGGTGTGTGCCACCACGCCCCCCCCCATTAGTGTATACTTTTACTTAAAAGAAAATGCTTATCTGAAATATAAATTTAACAGAGTATTCTAACAATTCTGCCATATATTCTAAAATATTCACTGCCAAACCCTTTACAGAACACACTTGTTCAAGTCTGCTATGAAAAGTGTTTCTTTCAGTGTTACCAGAGCTTTTAATGGGGTAGGACATATTCTCTTGTTTCCATCAGATCAGATAGAGCAGATCTTCACTCCAGTGGACATTTTTGTCTATCCAAAATGGCTGATGGGTTTATGGAGGGAAGGTTTAGGAGGCTGATGAGGGTGGGTGGTAAACACAGTTGTCATGTTTTATTTCTCTCAATTCTGTTCTAGCCTACTTGGATTATTTTACTCTAGGCACACAATTAATTAAATAATGGTATGATTTTAACTTTAGTAATTGAATGTATGAAAAAAAATTAAATGTCATGTTGTTTTAGTTAAATTCTTTTAAAGGATTTCATTTCAGTTTTTGATGATTAATTCAGGTTAGCTCTCATAGACAAAGTTAATGAAAAGTAGAGAGACAAATACTAGATGTAGAGACTTATTATTTAAGCTTGGTCAGAATCTTACTGAAATTATAGGCTGTCCTCTTAAACACATTAGTCAAAATCAATAACACAACAGGCTGTTACCTTTGTTTATTTAAAACATTTTTTATTCTGTTTGCCTAAATCTAGGGTCTAATAAAATCAAGGGGCAATGGAAGACAGATTGTTCTTTTAGTTGCCTTAGGCCCTTCGTATTAGAACTGAGTGACCTAGAATCTAGGTGCCCAGTTTGGATGATGTAGTGTAGTCAGAGTTCCATATACTGTATTATGAGGCATGTATATGCATTTGCCAAATCTAAATGCAAAATTGCCTCTGTTGCCTCAGCTGCTTTCTGAAGCAATATCTAAAAATAGTTGAGTCATATCAGATGCACCAAAGTAAGCCATGGATATATTTAGGCACTGCTGGTGACTTTTAGAGGATGTAATGTTTATCTATTTATTCTTATCCATGACTACAATAATGCGTGATTTAAATATTCTGTTTCCTAGGCATTGAGACTGACCAGTGCTCAGTCTATTATTATTCTGCATGCTTGCTATATTAGAGACACTGATAGTGATGTGTTTCATACCTTGAACTAATTCTAACTTTGTTACTGTGGACATTCTAGGACAACCAGAGAATGGTGGTACTCCACAGAGGGAAATTCATGTGAAGCAAAGTGGGAAACCTTCTTGTGAATCCATTACAAAAGCTATCAAAAATGTGAAAGAAAACATGACCCATCAAAAAGCTTTGAAGTAGTGATGTTACAATGTCTTACCATGTACAGGGATGTAATCACCCAGTCTTGGAGAAGTTCAATAATAAATAAATTGGTGTCTTATCCATAATTGGACCAATGAACATTTCTTTTTGATGTGATTCAACAACTATATTTATTTAAGATCTATGTCAAGCACTGCTGAAAATACAAAATCAGATAAATTAGTACATAATGACAAAATAAATTTTAAATATACATTTAAATATAATTCACCATGATGAGATAGAATTCTTTCACATACATTTTATAGGAGTGGCGAGTCCACTTTGTATTTTCCTCATTGGAAAGTGAGCTTCTGCTTTGTTCTGATGTTACGTATTTGAACTCATTAATGAAATTTTATTCTGAGAGATTCTTATTATATTGGCCTATAGAAAATCTTGCTCAGCTCTATGGATATTCTTAATTTAAATTGCTTCTATATAGGATTACCCTCTTGCTGATAATGAATTATGGGAAAAGAAAATCATGTTTTTCTTAAAATTTGTTTCTGATGTTTAAGCCATCCACATACTTCGGCTTGAAAATTATTTGTTGCCTCCATACCTTATATTTGTGTGTGTGAGTGTGCACGCATGTGTGCATGTGCATATGTGCACATATATGTGAAGTTCTATGTTGGTCCTAAGGTGCCATACACCTTAAGTATTTTGTTGTTGTTTTTTTCTTTTTTCTGACACAGGATCTTTGACTGGCTTCCCATGTAGCCAGATTGGGTGACAAGCAGGCCTCAGTGGTCAAATGGTCTCACAAATGCATGCCACCATGCCTAGCTTTTTTTATATCAGTTCTGGGGACTGAAATCAGATCCTCATGCTTCTATGGCAAGTGCTTTACTGACTGAGCTGTCTCCATATCTCCATATCTCCATATCTTTACAGAAGGGAAATAAAAAGCATACTGAGATCCTGAAAGACTCAATCTTTCATATATGATTAATACTTTTTTATTTATATGTACAAAGTTTTCTTCAACTAGAACCATTCACATTTTAATGCTATCTCATTAAAACTCTGATTTGTCTTCCTAGAAAGACATTACTAATAGTGAATTCCACAATATGAATGACAGTTCCCTGCCACACTTATCATTTTTTTTTGAAGATTTGGTCATTTTATTAGCATATTTCTGGCAACTTCATTGCTAAATGTTAAGTTTGGATAGATAGTACTTAGAAAGATAGAAATGTAATGATGTAGACAAACTCTTAGGAATCTGTTTAAATTTGTTTTATCTGAGTCAAGAGAGCTGATTGAATATCATAAACAGGCAGATAACTAATCTATTGTTACACATTGTAATGGGGAAAATCTTAAATATGCTGTACCAAGAGTTGGGATATAGTTCTTAGAAAAGGATTGTAAAAACTATAATAAATCCTTAGAAAAGGATTGTAAAAACTATAATAGATGTGAAAATGTTTCCCATCTTAGATTCACAGTAGTTTTACATCAATCATCATAGAGTGTTTCTTGGCTTTGTGTTCAGTTATCTTGAAAGAAATATCACTCGGGCTCCAATGATGGTCAGTTCTATAGAGATTTTTGGAAAATGTGAAATAGTGTGTAGGCTCTACTGAATTAAGCAAATTACAGCTTCAAGTATCATCACAGGGGTAACTTCAAGGTCTTGAGGGATGTGCTGACACATATCAATGCAAAGTGCATGTTTGAGGAAGACTATTTCATACAGGGTCTTTGCCATAGGAAGCAGTGAATGTTTTGGGAACTGCAGAAGTCCATATAGCAACAGAACTCCATCAAATGTCAGAATGCTTATCATGGGAGCAGAAGCTACATGATATGTTGTATGAATTATTAAGCACTTCTCTTTTGTAATTTGGAGTATCAAGTAGTCAATGCTTTTTGGATGTTGGAAAAGCAGCCTCTACAACAACCCAATTGTCCTGGACAGCTTCAGTTGTCAACTTGACACACATTGGTAGAGGGAATTTCCTCCACTGGATTAGCCTGTGATCATGTCTTTGGAGAATTTTCTTGAGTATTGGATAATGTGGGAGGGCACTGCCATCCCTGGGCAGTTGGTCCTAGGTTGAGTAAGAAAGCAGCCTGAGCATAGGCTGGAGAAGCAAGTGAGTGAGCAGCAGTCTTCTGTGGCCTGCATTTCAGATCCTGCCTCCAGGTAACTTTCCTGAATTCCTGCCCTAACTTACCTCAGTGATGAACTGTGACCTAGGAGATGTAAGATAAAATAAACGCTTTCCTTCCCAAGATGGTTTTGGTCAATGTTTTTTATCACAGCTATAGAAAGCAAAATAGGACACCAATAAAGTGATTTTCTTGATTTTTCTTGAAGAGTATAACAAGTTAGACAGTTTAGCCCTTTATACCTTTGACAATAGGATGAACTGTTCTCTCAAAGGTGCTTTTAAGGATGCTTATCTTAGTAGTTATCTTAGGGTGCTTATCTTAGTAATATGCTTATCTTAGTAGTTAGCTGTGTCACATGGCCTTTAATCACAGCATTTATTAAAATCAAAAGGACATGAAATACATATATACATATAGATTTAGATGATAAAGAAATATAAGTATGCTCAGCCATACTTATATTCACCCTGAAAGTACATATTTGGTACATATGTCTCAAAGATTTAGTAAAATAAGTATTAAGAGTTGACTACGACTATTATTGATCCTCTAAAACTGAAATGCTAAATTTTACAAGTAATTTGTGAGGTATTTACTATAGAATACATTTGATTTAAAAGCCGAAAGTGTAAATTTCTTGTTAAAAGTACAACTGTCCCAATTCTGATGCAAGAAAGACCCTGAACACATATGAGCAATTTCATGGAAATATGTGCATTTATATGTGTGTATCTATACATACATACGTATTTAATTGATTTTTACTGACTTAAAATGATATGCTGTCACAAGATGTAACTGATGTTGCTTCTAGGGTAAAACTACTTTAAAAACCATTGTCTAAGACTCTTTCTTCACAAGAATATACTTAAAGCTGCAAACTAATTTTCCATATTATTAATCATAATATGAATATCTTTAAATAGTAAAAGAAATTCATATGCTCTGTTTGGGTTTTCAAGCATATGAGATCTAAAATTGAAAAAAAAACATGTTTAATTTTTGTGAGTTTAATATTAAGGCACAGTTTATAGAGATTGACATGGTCAGATAGTAATTATAATTACATGAGGAATTCATATCTATGACTGGTAGTAAGATTTAGAACACTGTGGGAGTCAATATATAATAAAATTTGCCCAAATTAAACCAGTTTAGATTTTACACAAAAACTCTCTATTTCACTGAAGTATTAAAGAGTTTTATGATTTTTTAAATTTTATTTTGTACATAAAATATTGTCTTCCCACATTTATAAAAATATGAGGTAATGATTATATGTATTCTGAAATTAATACTATGGCTTATATATTCAAAGCACAACGAAGATAGGCATATTAGTCCATTTTAAAGTAAATTTAAAATAATAAGAGTAGGATTTAGTCTACCATTTTTGTGTGTGGGGTTTTAGTACATATGTGCAAATTAACAAAGAAAATTTGAGTTACAGATATCCAGAAGAGTTAAGAAAATCTCGGGGGGAGCTGGAGAGATGTTTTGTTAGTTAAGAGCACTGGTTGCTCTTGAAGAGAACTCAGGTTTCCCAGCACCTACACGGTGGCTAACACCTTAACTCCAGTTCCAGGTGATCCAACACCCTGGATGTCAGGGTGTGCACCCTGATATGGGTACACGTACGTACATGCAGGTAAAAAAAACAAAAAAACAAAACAAAACAAAACAAAACAAAAACTCATAAAATAAAATTTAAAAACAATTCTCAGATACACAGTGGTCATGACATTACTGAGTTGCCTATTTTTTTCTTTACCACAATTTTATTATTATTGGTTTCATAAAATGGAATTTTAGATTCTGGTCTTCATGAGGAATTTGAAGTGATTATTATGATGATTATGATACAATAGTAAATAATACTGATTTTATTTTCAGTATTTAGAAGCTTGTTTAAGATTTTAAAATATTTCAAACACAATGAACCAAGGATAAGAAAAGCTACAATTATTTTAGTTATATGAGCTCATTCATTAGTCAGACAAAAATATTTGTGTTACAAATTCTATAAGTGACACAACTTGAGTATCAAAGGAGTATTCATAGTGTGAATTTATAAATGCAAAAGTCAAAATTCTATTCAATTGAAACAGAATCATGTGTCAGGCTCTTCATAGCTTTATACTTTGAATAAATTTTTTAAATTTTATACGGTTTAGTTAAAATTTCAACTACTATCCCATTTGCTTAGACATTTGAAACTTTATTATTTATTTATTTATTTATTTATTTATTTATTTTATTGTTATGAGACAGGGTCTTCCTATAGCCCCAGCTGGCCTGGAACTTGCTATGTGTACTGGGCTACACTGGATCACACAGAGACCCACCTGCCTCTGCCTCTAGAGTGCTGGGAATAAAGGCATGCACCACCATGCCCAGCTGAAACTAGTTTTTATAAAAGACAATATGAGTGTTTATTAAATTGCAAATGGTTGTGTACATCTTACATTTTGATGTTTCAAGATAGATATTCAAATATTCATTAAATACCTCCTATATGACAAGAGCTTTTCTATGTGATGTACTATTTTGTATATTGCAATGTTTTAACAATATTTTAGTGCCATTTATAGCTTGTGGAGCCTATGTGCTTTGTAGATTATTTAGTCTTTTATAAGATAAATATACCTCCTTCTAAATTTAAATATTATAATGTATGAAGGATATACCTGTTTCCTTTGAAATTATAGAAATATTTTATTTTTGAAATTAATAAAATTTAGTATGTCCTCTCTCCCAACCACCAATCCCTTTCCTAACCTTTGGTTTTGAACAGTCAAAATTAAAGTAATATAAACTCCCCTCCCCCAAATTTATTCTTTACAAAACAACTAAGCTTGGAGATAAATCTTCTGTCAAAATGGATTGAGCCGTATTCCAGTTCCTAAAGGTGAGAATGGATTCACTTTTGCCCACATCAATGCATCGTTCAAAGAAATAGCAGATTTCCCGTCTTCAAGGTAATATACAGGGCCCTGTACAGAGTTGAGAAAAGAGAAGGTGAAAATATAAGTGTGTGACACTGTTTTAAAGTTTCAGAAATAATCACTGCAGTAAGAAAACACCAGTGACATATAGGCAAAAGTAAATTTAATACTGCAAGAAAAATAAATTTTTAAAAAAATGCTAACAACTACAGAACCATTTTCAAGTATTACAGTATTATTATTTTGTGATAGTTGTCTAAATGTAATTTCATGTTATAATTTGAATTCTTTATATATGGTAGTGTTATCAATGGCAATACTGTTGTTATTTAATTTCCACAAAGATAAAATATTTTATGAAAGCATATAATCAAGTAATAGATATTGATATAGTTTACTCTATTAGTTACATAGTTAATGTTAACATGGCTGGTGAAATTACTAAAGTCAGAAACTTGGATATATTATTCTGTATGTGTGTGAATACAAAAACATTATATTCAGTCATGTGACTTGGAGTGTTATTTATAGCTAGTCACATAAGTTATTATGTATACCCTGAGTAGTTATGGAAAAATCTTTCAATGTATATTACTTAATTCTTAATTAAGCATAATTTAAAATAATCACCAAAACAGCACAATACTTTATTATTATTAAAAAATATTATGTTTAATTTTGTGTGTATGAGTGTATTGCCTACATGTAAGCGCACCTGTGTTGTGCAGTGCCTGCAAAAGTTAGAAGGCCTCAATTCCCCCAGACCTGTAGTTACTGACAGTTGCTAGCCAACATGTGGATCCTGGAAACCAAACTATTGCAGGTCCTCTGCAGTAGTAGCCAATGCTCTTAACAGTTGACCTATCTCTTCAATCCTTTTCATTTTAAAGTTCTGGACTTTAAAATATTTTTAATTACTCTTAAAATTGATTAATTAATTAATTAATTGACAAAGGGTCTCCTTGTAGCCCTGTCTAACCTGGAACTTACTATGTAGACCAGACTGGCTACTGTCTCTCAGAGATCTGCCTGCCTCTGCTTCACAAGTGCTGGGATTAAAAGTGTGTGCCAGCACACCTCGATAATTTTTTTATTTTTTTAAATACATATTTTTTTTAAGTATAGATGTGTGTGTCTGGTGGTTTGAATGACCATCCGCAAAGACTCCAAGTATTTGTAGACTTGGTCCCCAGTTTGTAGGTTTGTTTGGAGCGAGTCATGGAACTTTTAGGAGGTATGGCCATGCTAAAGGAAGCATGTTACTGGGGGCAGGTTTGAGAGTTCTTAAGCCTTTCCAAATTTCCAGTTTCACTCTGCTTCCTGTGCCTACTTGAAGATATGACTGCTCAGTTTTCAGGCCTCCTCGTGCTGCCCTGCCTCCTCCCCCGTTAGGGACTCTCCCTCCAGAACCATAAACCAAACAACTCTTCCTTCTATGAGTTGCCTTGGTCGTGATGTTTATCACAGCAAGAGAAAAGTAACACAGGTCTGTGTGCGGGTATGTGCACATGAGTGCAGGTCCTTACAGCATCAAGAGGCATTGGATCCTCCTGGATCTGGAATTGAACACAAATCCTCTGAAAGAGCAGTATGTGATTTTAAATGCTGAGATATGTAATTTTTATTGTCTTAATTGTGTTTGAAAGCTATCAACTTTCTGATCATACTTTTTGTTTTCATTTATTTTTAAATTTGCTATTTGAGAATTTGATACATGAGTCTAATGTGTTTTGTTGAAATCTAGCCCCATTCCCTTTCCTTTAACTTCTCTCAGACTCAAACACCTTTTCCTCTCCAATTTCATGCATTGGCCTGTAACTCACTATATAGACCAGGCTGGCCTCGAACTCTCAGAGATCCTCCTGCCTCTCCCTCCCGAGTGCTGGGACTACAGACGTGCGCCACCACGCCCATCTCATGCATTCTTTTTAAAATCCAGAGTCCACTTAGTGCTGCCAGCATACACATAGGTGAAGGGCCATCCATAGGAACATGGGCAGCCTATTAGGAGCAATATCTGCAGTAAACTAACTCTCTCTCTCTCTCTCTCTCTCTCTCTCTCTCTCTCTCTCTCTCTCTCTCCTTTCTCTCTCCCCAATAGTCTTTCAGATAGAGGTAGAACTTCCTGAACCTTTCCTACATCCATAATAGAATTTTGGCTGACTTGATCTTGTTTATGCAGTCACCGGTTATAATTTTAAATGACACATTTTGTTGTTAGAAGTATTTTTAGATGTTCGAAAAGTTATCATAGGAGTAGTGCTGATTACTCATGTTAGTATGTACTTAAAGTTTCATAAAATAACATAAACTTATTAATGTCATTACAGCAATCCTAGAAATGGATTACTTCATCTACTCTAGTTATGTGTGGATTAGGAAATAATTAGTAGATCCTTTATTGAATATAGGTTTGGGAACAGAGAAATTAGCTGGTGTTTATTAGGTCATTGACTTTTCTAGGTGGGGCAAAGGAGCCTTTAGGGGAAAAAGAATGAAGGTACCAAGTATGAAAATGCTACCTGAAGGGCAGGGAGAAGTACTTTTATAATTTTCACTCTTAAGTCACTGAATTTCTGTAGGAATGACTATTATAAAGTAGACATAATCTGAACTAGTGACTTTTAATTAACCCTTGCAAAACTATGTGCTCTGTGTCTTGTGCTGGGGCACCTAACCTTGTTTTCTGGGAAATTCAATTTGCTACTCCACCAAAACAGATAATGAATGAATGTAGGTGTGCTTGAGAATTAACACGTCCAAGAGCTGAAGACAGTATGCTTGTCTTCCTTGAATACAGTGAAGACTGGGAAGGAAGCTTGACTTGTGTGTCTGAGACAGTCTAGAACCAGGGTTGGAAAAACAAGATCGAGAAAGAATGCTTGCTGATAAGGGTACATACAAACTTGGACTCCCCAAATGAAGCTGGAGAAATTACTTTGAATAAAATCATGGGTGAGGACTGACTGGAGAGCATATTTTCAGTCACAGTTCCAGCAAGATAAGAGTTTCAGAGCACAGTTCCAGGGTACAGACAGTTCCAGGAGATATTTGGGGGAAGAGGGTCCTCCAAGTTCAGGCCCACTCTTAAAAACAAAATTTAAGAGTTAGGTGTTTTTATTCAGGTACTTGTAATGTTGGCAGAACACCATGTTGTGGTGCCTCCTGTGGGAAACTCTTTAAACATATTTTGATTTAATCTTAAGAAAGTCAAATGTGACTATAAAATGTTTTGCTTGCTCAGATGTCATTGATTCAGATTATAATGATCAAATTCTTATTTTAGCTATTCCATGAAATTTTGGCTTTAGCTTATTTGCCCAATGGTTTATTGTTTACTTTTTGAAATTAAACACTAGTTTGTGATTAAAATGTTTTAAATATTTTTTTTTATTTTGTGTGTATGAGTGTACTGCCTACACATGTATAAGTGCACCCGTGTTGTACAATGCCCATGGAGGTCAGCAGAAGGCGTCGGATTCCCCTGAACTGGACTTGTGGATGGTTGTTAACCACTATGTGGGTGCTGAGAATTGAACCCAGGTCCTCTGCAAGAGCAGTCAGTGCTCTTAACCACTGAGCCGTCTCTCCAGCCCCATATGATTAAAAATTTATAAGAGGATAGGCATGGTAAAATAGATTGTAAATTTATTTGTTAATGTTTTTTATGTCTCATGGTATTAAGATGATTAGTAAGAAAAATATTAAAAGGATGTAAAAAGAAAATATTTTTTAATAAAGAAGGATTTAGGTATGAAGATTAAGATGTTTGGATAACTCCAGAATGGAGCAAAGAAATAAGAAAAGCCTTTTAGTAAGGTGTTTTAGATATGTAAAAACGAGGCTTTAAAATGATATATATAATCTTAAAGTTTCTAAATTCAAAGTTTAAACAAACCTCTATTTAAAATCAATGGAACTGATATTGTTGGCTATTAAAGGATTGGCTTAAAAATAAAATACAAAACTAATAAAAGTTTATTTAAGAGCATTTAGTTTTGACTAAATGCTATACAATTCTTTAAAAAATGCCAAAATGTTTTAACTGATTATTTAAAATTTAAGAATCAGGCTTTTTTATTCAGGCAATTTCAATGTTGGCATATGAATGCCCAAAATTTCTGCTTTAGTTCTTTATGTTTAAATATAAGTGAATGATAAAATTATATACAGCCATGTGCTCTATGTTTTGAAATTATTGGTGTGCTCTGAAGAGTTTAGCTTACAGTTGGCCAGGTAAGCTATTGGTGTGGTTACATCAATAAGAAACTCTTCCATTCATTTTGGGTGGTTGTATAAAAACATAATACTTTACTCATTGGTCTGGCATGTCAACATTAAGAATGGGTTTTTAATATTGTGCTGGGAATGTGAGAACTTATTCATTAAAATGTATATAATGCTTGGAGGTAGAGTTCTTTCCAACTGACTGAAGATCCCACTCTGTGAGACTGAGCTTTATTAACTTCCCAGGGACTCTCCACCAAGAAAATAAAGACATCTCTGCTTCTTCAAGATAACAACACCCCTGGGTTACATGCAGAGGCTATAGGCATAATTCTTCACCATTAATTTGATTGTACATTAGAGACTGCTGTTTGGGAATCAGTTGTCCTTTGTTATGAAACCCAGTGACTGTTCATTGCAAAAGTTGAGCAAATGAATATAAGAACACATAATGTATCAGTAATGTATATCTATTGTTTTTATTCAATTCTGTTTGTGGAACACAACTGGACACTAGAAAGTTAAATGTAATTTGCAATAAAATCATGTGTGATTGCTGTTTGTTTTCCCAAGTTTCTAATTTCCTTCAAGTTATAAAGTGTATTTTAAAGCATTTTCATTACTAAGTATATACATATAATTTTTTGGTATATATTACATAAATTCTTTCTATGATAATAGCTCAATGATTAGCTCTCTGAATTTATTTTAAAGGGAAGAGGAGCCATTTTTATCATCATGGAGGCACTAAGGGCAATATTTTCTTACTGACACTCATACGTCTACATTCACCAATTTTATTGAATTCATACTTATTTTAAGGTAACATTCCAAAAGTCACATTAAAAAATAAGGGAAATTTGACAAGAATTTTATGTCTGCTATTAGGCTGTACCTGAATTTTTAGTCCTGTAAGACAAGAGATGTGAATGTCTGAATGACTTGGAAGATTTGATCCAGTCACATAATCTGGTCCAGTAATTCCTTTGAGTGGCTCTTCTTTCAGTCTCTTTAATAAAGTTTCATAAACCATTCTTTGTGAATCAGAAGGGGGTGTACCTGAAGAGTCTCCTGATGATCTACATTTTAAACAGATGTTCACATTTCATTTTTGTAGAATAGTAGACTTATTGATATTTATATTAAAAATAGTCTGTTATTATTTGATTGTCCTTTATAGATGGAGGCAAGTCAACTTTAAACTTAAGTCATAGATAAGCAAAGGATTTTAAAAAGGGAGAATAAATCACTATAAATTATTTGAGTGTGTTGAACTGTGCTTGATAGCTTCAATTGTCACCTTGACATACTTGAGTAGAGGGGGTCTCAATTGGGGAATTGCTTCCATTGGACTGGCCTGTGGCCATTTTCTCTGGGGCATCTTCTTGATTACTGAATGATGTGGAAAGGCCCAACCCACTGTGGGTGGTGCTGCACCTGGGGAGGTAAGCCTATGTTGTATAAGAAAGCAGTTGCGCATGGGCCAGAGGAGCAAGCCAGTAAGTAGCTATCCTTCATGGCCCATGTGCTTTAGCTCCTGCCTCCAGTTCCTGACCTGAGTTCCTACTTTGGGCTCCCTTAGTGACGAACTATGACTGGGGATATGTAAGCCACATAAACCCCTCCCCATGTTGGTATTGGTCAAAGTGTTTTGTCACAGAAATTGAAAAGAAACTAGAACATGAACCAATCATGATTCATTATTCTTCCAAAACTGATAGAGAACATGCACATTTACAGCACTTTTTTCTGTAACATTAAACTCATTCTGCATTTGAATTTTTATAATGTATTCACTCACTGGTTGGTGGACTGTGTGCAAGCTCTCCATGCATCCAATTCCTTAGAAAGTTGTTCAATTTTTAAAGGTACTGACACCACTCGGCGTTTTAATAGCTGACTGCAATATATATAAAAAATTAACATCTGGCATTAAACTAACACATCAGGAAAGATAAATGAACATTAATAATTGCAAATTTAGATATAACAATTGTTCAAAAATGTTAGTGTACATATGATTATGGATACAAAGGCATATGTGTGCTTGTGGGAGACAGGCTTGAGCCTAGGGTGAAAGTCTTACTGACAGCCATACAGCAGGCCCAGGCAATGGCCTGACTGCTAGAGCCACAAGGAACACCTTATGACATTCGCTTCCATTGGCAGATCATGAGACTGATGCCTAGAGCTCGCCACTCCCTAATTACTACCCTTGGAATCCAAAATTGCAACACTTAGATATTGCAACAGTCAGGGTCATGTGGTTTCCAGGAATCCAGGCTCTGTAATCTGAAACCCAGTATGCTCATGAGGTATCCTACCTGCTATTCTGTGATAGGATGCTAAATCTCTTATGATAATAGGACGTTAAGTCTGTTATGCTAATAAGGTATCCTACTTGCTGTGCTGTGATTGGACCACTACCCCTATATAAGCTTGTGCCTTCCTGAAATAAACCAGACCTGTGTCACTGAACCTGGTCTCTTGTGTCTGAATGCAGCTCTGCTGACACAGTCTCCTCACCAGCTCTGGGGTCCGGGACCAGGCAGAAGCGGGCGGAAGCAGCAACAATCAGAGGCAGTGTCAGGAGAGCAGAAGAGCTGTCTCAGCACTGGGTGAGCTGAAAAGCAGCCTCAGCCCAGGGCAAGCAGAGGAGCAGCCTCAACGCCTGTGAGAATGAAGGAGCAGCACCCATGAGAAGCAGCCGCTGCTGGTGGTGACTGCATGTGCTCACTTATATACTTAGCATTTACATTCCTGGTAATTGTAAAATGCTGAAGAAACATGTTTGGATGAGTGACTGAGTAGTTAAATGCATGCATAATTGATGGAGCATGGTTAGGCAAGCCAGGAAATATTGAATAATAGCCAAAATGAGAGAAAAAACTTGACCATGACCCTGATTATTTGATCCTGGATGTCAGTACTATAATGGTGTCATTAGAAGAAAGAGTAAATTGAAAAAAAAAGAAAAAAGAAAAGAGTAAATTTGAGAAGAAAGGTCATTTTATATCTGAGTATACAGAGTTTTTTTTTTTTTTTTTTTTTTTTTTTTACTGGGTTTTAGCACAGGTTACTAGATTCAGACACAGGAGTTTTGAGAAGAGATTATGTCTGAACATAAACTAATGAGTTATCTCAGCAGTGGCATTAGGTGAATCTTTAAAATGAACTTTCTTGTCTGATGGCTTAGCCAGTAAAGGTGCTTGTCCTACAAGCCAGGCCATCTGAGTTTGATCCTCAGAACCCACATAAAGGTGTAAGGTGAGAACTGAATCCATAAGGTTGTTCTTGGTCTTCAAGAAATGTGTCCTGTCACACACATGCACCCCTTTCCATTACACACACAATAATAATAAGTAAAATAAAACTATGAAGTTATGATAAGGGACAGGGAAAAGTGAAAAGTAGCAATAAAAGAGAACAAAACAATTGCTTATTTGATATTTAATTAGTTATGGGAATGAAACCAGGAAGTAACATACAGCAATGATGGACTCATCATCAAAAGGAAATTGTTTATATTTTTGAGTTCTTAAAGTTTTGTTTCTTAAAAATTCTGTTTTTCTTAACCTGGACACAGTCTCTAAAGCTTCTGCAGCCTTACAAATAAGTGTCCTTATTTTTATTCTTTTTTTCTTTCTTCCCTTTTCAATTTCTAAGATGGAATCTTATTCCAAAATTCATGGTGGTGTGGAATTCTCTATGTAGTCCAGGCTGACCTTGAATTGGCAGTAACCCTCCAAACCCAGTTTACTACATGCTGGGATTACAGGCGTGAGCCACCATTCCCAGCTCTCTTTTTATTAAAAAAAAAATATTTTATTTGCATATATGCATGTGTGTCTGAGTGTTGGCTTGTGCATACGTGTGTGGTTCCTTCAGCGGCCAGAAGAGGGCATCAGATCCTCTGGAGTGGGATTTAGGGCAGCTATGAGTTCCCTGCCATAGTTGCTGGGAACTGAACTCTAGTCCTCTGAAAGATCAACATAAGCCTTTAACTGCTAAGCGATCTTTCCAGTTCCTCTTCTTTTTATTATTAATATTAACTTAAGAGGCCATTTCCTCTATTTTTATTTTAATCATTACTGAAGTTACATATAGTTAAAATACATCTTTAAATATTATTTTAATTATATGTGCCATCTCATTCCTGTATTTTAATGTTGAAAGTGATTTCTGGAGTTTGATTGGCTGCCTGCATAGAACCAAATTTTCCTTGAGTATTCTGAAAATATTAATTCCATCTCATTACTCAGAGTGTAGAAGGTAACAGCTACTTCTTCACTAGAGTTAGTGATAAGAACACTTTCCAGTCACTTCACAATTCTCTATTACACATGCATGTACATGTGGAGACCTGAGATCAACCTTGGGTACTGTAGACACTGTGTTTTATTTATTTATTTATTTATTTATTTATTTATTTATTTATTTATTTTTATACTGATGGGACAAATCTTGTTAAGTGCTGGACTGGGTTCAAACTGAAGATTCTCTCCTCTTGCTTCACCAATAGATTTTATTTTTGAGTGCAATATGTTTTAAGCATACACTGAAGCTCATAATAAGCTGTTAGTTGTTTGACTGGTAGATTATGCCCGAAAATAAAATGACAGGCTATTTGCTACTCATTTTCCTACCACAGAGATTGGGAAACTAATGTTTCTGGTTTTCTACATTTTAACAGTGGTATTACACGTTATGGCACTGAAATGTAGGCATGAAACTTGCAGGGGAACTTTCCTGAACAAAATGACTTGGCCTGGCAAAGTCCCTTTGAAACACTTTCACCCTCACCACCCTGTCTTTCTCAGAGTATAGACATTATATGAGGGAGTCTAACAGTGATCTTATAACCACGAGGAAGTCACAAAGAGGAAAGAAGCAAAAAATATCAGAGTGGAAAGAAAGGAAGTATCCAGGCCTTTGATGGATTCACTGGACAGCTTCAGCAGCTCCAGCATGCCTCCCTGAAGTGTCCCATAGGCAAACACCAACATTCCCTATGCATTTAAACTAGTATTAGGAACTCCATTATGTATGGCCTGATGTGTTCATAATTGGTATAGTCTTAATTCCTGTTGTACTATAAAACATGGGCTGCGTGAACCTGAGTGAATGCACATAATGATACATTTGGTGCCTTGTGATATACTTAGCAACTACCTTGGTAAAAAAATGTCTCTAATTTCATAAAAAAATAGAAATTAGTTCTTACCACGTGTACTCATAAAGTGCTGGAACAATGCTTTGATACTGTCTCCTGATAGCCAATAATGCACCAATGTAACCACATAAGATGAGTAATTCATTTCTTGCTCTACAAGAGAATACATTTATTTACAGTTAGGAGTATATTAATTTCTTACATAATTCAAATATTTACATTTATATTCTTATCGGTGATATGTTTGGTAAATATGTTTAGCACATTTTCTACAATTGAGAGATCATTTATTCATCAGTTAATAATGTTCATAATTCCTATTCTGAAATTTATGTTATAGCATAAGTTACAAATCTAAAAAGTCTTTAACTAGAATTTAACAAGTAGTGTGCTATTCACAGTTGACCTGCATCCCAAAGACCCGCCAGGCTTTTTCTTCATGTCATTTATCTTTAAGTTACTCTTTTTTTATCACATTTAGGTATTTATGGCATATTGTGTAGACTTTAGGAAAGGAGAAACAAAATCTATTATATTTCCTGCCAAGTGGGTTTGTCAGTTTCCCAGGATGCTTCATTGGTAATTTCTCTCCCAAATTTTCATCAAAGCTCTGAGGACTTTGGTTATAATGAACAAATCTAAACATGAATGGCATCTTCTATTTTCTAGCACATGTATTTCTTTCCTCCAGAGATAGTATGATGTTTCACATAAAATGAATGTTGGATAAATATAACCATTAGTTTCTTGAGAACTTTAGGTCCACAACCACTGAAAAGTTTTGAATTAGCCAGGTCCATATACACACAGACGTATAAACAAACAAACAAACAAACACAAATATTGCTATATTGGGTCGCTAATTTATTATTCAAGATTACCTTAACATTTTTCTTCATAGTAATAAAGTATAATTTGTCTATCAGTGCAGCAACCTGAGATGATACTATTTCTTATTATTCACACTAAAACATTGCACTAATTTAAAATATTACACTGATTATATTTGATATTTTAGAGAAAAAGTACTCACTCAGTACATGTATGCAAGACTAATTTCTCAGTACGAATATAACTCAGTAGGTCAAGCACAGGGTAAATGGTATCCAATGTCCAATTTGAGATACTAATGTACTCTGGCAAAATAAAGTCAAATAAAATATTTCAAAATTATAGTATCCAAACATGTTCATCCAATTAAAATATATTATCAGTTCTTTGTCATCAATCCTATTTATTTGTTTTCTATAACATAACTATTTTTCTAGTCACTGTCCCCATACTACAGTTCCCATATCCTAATATTAGGAGATATACCATATTTTACACCAGTAATCACCCCCCTTAACATTTGGGATGACTAGTGCTTGATTATTCAGGTTGATTATCAAGATGAAGGAAGATATCAAGTAAATTATGTTACCAACTAGAAATTTACCTTTGACAAAGTCAATGCCAATAGGAAGAGCTTTTTCAGGTTCTTTACTTAGTAAGTAATACTTTATGGTTTCAAATACATTGCCATCTGCATGGGCCATTTCTGCTAACTGCATACATTCTTCTACTGGGGGCAGTTTGCACTAGGAAATAATTTATTGAAAGAAAATGTTATTAAGACTTATAGATATAAAAGCAATAGCACAAATATTAAATATTTCCATAAATGAAATTCTTTATGGAAGTATCTTTAAGATAAAAAAGTGATATCTCAGAAAACAAACAAAAAAATGATAATAGATGTAATATATGTAGGATTAAATTTTTCTTACTGTAAAATTGTCATTAGCACCCACCAATGTAATTTAGCAAAAAAACAAACAACAAAAAACTAATGTCAGTTGTGCTAGAATAAGTATAATATGCAGACACTGATAAAGCTACATTAAATGTGACAAACATAACAGCCGCAGCAGAACATGTCCTCTTGTACTATCATCACACTTAGCCTTTAAAGCAAAGTGACCTTATTTCAAGGAGACTAAAGCTGTCTAAGATCTAAAATTCGACAGTTTAAAATGATCACACAGTGCACATTTTTGGTCCATGAAGCTTCCTTAGTACAAAATGAAAAATAGTACTCCTGATTACTAACAACAGTTTTTCTGCTGAAACTGAAATTCTTGGCCTCTTTCAGTCAAGCTATTTGGCTTCCATTACATGGCTAGATAGTAAGTTACTATTATATGCATGTATGAAATTCTCAATAAATTATTTTTTTTAAAAAAGATTAAAGATCCTGAAGTTTTAGCCTCAACAACAGCTTTAATGATTAAAAAGTTTACTCAATTCTAGAAATTTTTAAATTTCTTTCTTGATTTTTCCCTTGACACAATTTTCATTCAGTAGTATATTGTCTAGTTTCCATGAGTTTGTATACTTTTTCCCAGTTTTATCATTATTGATAACTAGCTTTATTTCTTTGTGATCAGATAAAATACAGGATATTTCAGTTTTCTGAATATTGTGAAGACTTGTTTTGTGTCCTAAAATGTGGTCAATTTTGGAGAAAGTTGCATGGGCTGTTGAAAAGAAAGTGTATTCTTTGTTGTTTGTGAGGGAGTGTTCTGTAAAAGTCTTATTTGGTCCATTTCATTTGTGATGTCCTTTAACTCCAGGGTTTCTCTGTCTAGTTTTTGTCTGGATAATATTTCTATTGGTGAGAGTGGAGTATCATTGTTTTGGAGTCATTCTGTGATTTTAGGTCCAATAGTGTTTCTTTTATGAAGTTATGGTGCTTGTTTAACATCTACTTGGTGTTTTCTTTTAATTAGTAAGAAATATCCTTCCCTATCTCTTTTTATTAGTTTTAGTTTGAAGTATATTTTGTCAGCTATTAGAATAGTTACACCTGTTTGTTTCTTAGTTCCATTTGCTCGGATACCTTTGTTCATCTTTATACCTGAAAGTGGTATTGATTGTTGATCATGAGGTATGTTTCTTGGAGGCTGAAAAAGGATGGATCCCCTTTTCTAATCTAACCAGTTATCTTGTGTCTTTTTATTAGGGAATTTAGATAAATAATATTTAGAGTTATTATCTGTCAGTGTTTATTAATTCATTTTGTAATTGTTGATGTGATGTTTTCTTAGATTTCTTTTGCTTAACTATTCTGCAATTGTATATTTCTTCCTTGTGATCTCTTGGATGTGTGTAGTCTTCTCTTTAGATTGAGTATTCATTCTAGTATCTTCTGTAGAGTGGACATAAATTCCTTGTCTCTTTTTATCATGAAAAGTTTTTCTTTCTCCTTCAATTACAAACAAATTTCTTATTGCAATATTTAATTTGAATTTTTACAATACATTTAAATTAACTCAATATCAGTTTTATTGTGACATTAGAGTGTTGTACTAGAAAATGAGGAATGAATTTGGAATCAGCAGGTAGCTATGCTGTTTCAGCAAGGTTTGCTTCAAGTGTGAGGGAAAAATGTATTTCAAGAGTCTAAGGGCAATGTTTCTAGAAAGAATATGGCTCAGCAAAATTCAGGAGTTTCAAAAGCATACTTCTGATTATGCTGTTTAATCTACACAACACAGTCACAAATTTATTAGGCAGTAATCCCCTGGGCTGCTTCTCTTTAGTGATTAATAGAATTACACAGGAAGAATCATGGTCCTGCACAAGGAAGGGCTCTCATACTAAAGTTTTGACCTAAAAGTAGCCTTTCTTAGAGGTTTTAATCTGTCTGAAATTACAACTTGTAAAGATTGCCTTTTCCAAGATGAGTGTGGGTGCAAAGGCCTCTGATTAGAGAAACTCAGAAAGGCAATGTCAACCTGACAGTCAGTTCTGTAAGTATGTGAGACAAAGGACTAGAGTTAAGCAAGACATATCTGAAGGTGAGTAAAATTCTCAAAAATTAAATAAAAAGGGAAGAACCTGCTCATTTAAAACCAATGAGCACTCATTTATTAATAATGATATTTATTAAAAATAATGAAATGTTCCCAAATTATATGTTCAGCGAGGGTGAGGTCACAGTATTTGTCTATTGTGAACTTATTTCTCACATTTAAGAAGGTAGTGAGATGTTTCCATAAAGGTTCAGTGGACCTTGACAAAAGGTGGAATGTCAATGGGACCCTCATCCCTTACTGATGGGCATCTAACTTGGCATAGGTTGTTCTTAAATGTCATGCTCCTTGCTATCAATTATCTTCATCTCCCCAGTACCCTTTTGTTGTTTGCTTGTTTTTTTTGTTTTGTTTTGTTTTTTGTTTTGTGTGTGTGTGTGTGTGTGTGTGTGTGAGAGAGAGAGGAGAGAGAGAGAGAGAGAGAGAGAGAGAGAGAGAGAGAGAGAGAGAACCTTAGTATGTAGCTCTGGCTGGCCTTGAACTCAAAGAAATTCACCTGCCTTTGCTGGGATTAAGAGGGTGTGTCACCAAACAGCCCTCGTACAATTTTTTAACAAGAAGTTGTAATCACTTGATTCATTGTTTTTTTTTTAAAGCAATTAATGGGGGTAGGATGATGGTTCAATCAATAAAGTGTATGCCTTATAATCATAAGGACTGAGTTTGGAGCCCCAAGACCTGCGCAAAAGTCGGGCACATAAGCCCTTGCTCATAACACCAGCACTGTAGTAGAAGAGAAAGGAAGATCCCTGGAGCTCACTGACCAGCCAGACTAGATACACAGTGAGCTCTACGTTCAGTGACAGACTCTATCTCCAAACATAAATGAAGATCAGAGAGGAAAGCACCCCCCACTGACCTTTGGCCTCTACATGCATGAGTGCACACACGTGTGCATGCACACACCCCCACAGACACACAACACACAAATGCTCACACACACATACAGACACACACACAGGCACATAGAGACACACACAGAGGAACACATAAATAAAAAGTGAAAATAAAGGCTTTAAGTTGTACACCTGGCTTCAGATGCAAATTGGTAAAGTGGAAAGAACTGTGTATTTGGAGTTAGACTTCCTGAGGTTAAAGTTCTCATTCTAATTTAAAATAACTTTAGTTAATTCCTTACTTCAGTGAATTTCCTTTATTTGTAAAGCAGAACAATACTATCTGCTTTACATAGTTTCAAGAGAATCATGACATACATATGCATGACTGTTTAGAACAGTACTGAACACAGTGTAGTAGTCAATAAATGTTCCTTTTTTGGTTACTACTTTGGTTGAATCTATATGTATATAAAAGTGATCATGTATTTGTTTATTTGGGGGGAAACTTTCTACTTGATTGAACCTAAAGTTAGTTTAATCATAAGATTCCAGTTCAAACTGGGTTCATTAATGTATCATAAGTACACCTTCTTGTGAAGATCATTTATTTCTTCAATACAGCCTGGATAGAAAGCGCAGAGTTTCACTAAGTGTAGTTCATTATCAGGAGTCATCAGGAGCAAATCAGCAGCCAAATTCCTGTTCATAAAACAAAAGAGAAAACTGCACTGAAGAAATGACCTAAAATTAAGGCTCAAAATTGTTTCAAAGGAGACTCATATAATCAGCATCCTTGCTTATCTATCTACACAATGTTAATTTCATAGTTAAATATAAAACTGCTTCAAAGGTAGATTACAGAAACCAAGACTATGAAGGGTAAATGCATTATTGAAAATATGATACATATCTTGAGCTTTAAAAAGCTTTTACTGAATTGTATTGTTACAGACAAATTATCGACCAGTTTAGATAGGCCTTTTCGGAGAACTTTATAAAGTAGGTGCAAAAGTTCACTGGCATCAACTTTTATCATTCTTGCCAACACTGGAATGTTCTGTCAGCTTTCTGACTTCAGAGGAATACTAAGGTATTTGAACTTCAGAACTTCTGATGTTCTGTGTATTTCTTAAACTTTGGTAAGAATGTCAAGAAAGAAATGTAGTTTTAAATTTAAAAAAATTCAAGTAATAGGATAAATAACTTCAGTGTTTTAAAAAGACTAAAATGTCATGGATTTAATAGCTTTGTGTTGAATTTTTTTTTATGAGAGGCTTTTCCCAATTCAGTAGGTGAGGAGTTTTTACTTCCATATACTGTAACTTAAAAAACCTCTAATTTCCAGTGACTCAAGATATTATTCAGTTTTCAAAAATTACATACATCCATCTTATATGACTCTAGAATAGGCATAGATTAAACGAAAATTTACAAGTTTTATACACAATGCCTTTTGATCATTATTGTGAACTAAGTAATTTTTAAAATATAAGAACTGCTTAGAAAGCGATATAAAAATGTAGACTAGAAAATCATATAAAATATAGAATAGGGGCTAGAGAGATGGCTCAGTGGTTAAGAGCACTGACTGCTCTTTCAGAGGACCCGAGTTCGATTCCCAGCACCCACATGGCAGCTAACAACAGTCTGTAACTCCAGTTCCAGAGGATCCGATGCCTCTTCTGACCTCTGTGGGCATTGCACGACACGAGTGCATTTACATACATGAAGACAATACACTCATACACATAAAACAAATAAAAAATAATAAAATAAAATATTTAAAAAATATTTGTTCTAAAAAAATCTCAATACCACATTTAAAATAAAACATTCTAGAAAAACCAGTTATTCCAGGTTCCTATGTGGTTTTTCCACCTCTTGATCCTCCTTCAATCCATCTTTTCAAACTATATTCTACCATTTATTTCCTCCATAAAATACTTTGATTCTTTTCAGGGATCTATATATGATGTCAATAGAGAATTATTAATTCTACAACAATTTTTCAGTTTTTTCCTCTACCCAATTAATAATTAATTATAATGTCATCCTCAGATGCCAATATTTATATTAAACTGATAAGATAAATTTTTAAGTGATTTTATAAGTTACTGATAAAATTTTAAGTGATTTTATAAGTTCCAAATTAGAACACTTACCTCTTCTTGCTAAGCAATATAAATAACTGTAATTCCTAATAAGAAAGTATAATAATGAATTTTTTACAAATGTCAACAAAAAAGGAAAAATTATTTTATATTTGTGAGTGTATGATGTATTGACTGTGCATATGATGTATTTTTCTATGATGTGTGTGATTTACTTGTATGCATTCATTTACATTATGTGCATGATGTTTGTGATGTATGTAAGAATGATGTTCATAGTGAGCATGATCGTTGTATAATATGTATGTGATGTATGTATGATATAATTGGTGTATATGTGTATGATGTTTGTGATATACATGTGATGTGTGTGAAGCAAGCATGCATGTGGGTGTATGATTTGTGTGAGTGATAACTGTATGATTTATATGCATGATGTATGTGACGTGAGTGATGTATATGTTATGAAATGTGTGATGTGTATGTGCTATAACTGCATAATGTCTGTTTGTGATATGTATGTGATATATATGCGTGGTATATGTTTGGTATGTGTATGTGTGTGTGTTCACTCTTGAAATGGTACAAAGGTGGGAGTCAGAGAACAACTTTTGGGAGTTGTTTCTCTCTTTCCACTATAGGATTGAACTCAGTTCCTAAGGCTTGCACATATGCTTTTATGTACTGAGTGATAACACTGGCCCATAATAAGAATTTTAAACATTGTTCATGAGAATACAAAATTACATTCTGATTTTACTCTATGAAAATTACTATATTAAAACTATAATAAAACTTCCATCAACTGCAAGTAAAACCTTACTTTCTTGCTACAATGTATATCCTAATACAGTAAAATTTTTATGGTCCTTTAACTCACTTTTAAAAATTCAATACACTCACTGTGTGTACATGTGAGTACATGTAACTGTGTGTAACATTATATAGGTCAATTAAATAATCTGAACATTTAAGTTTCATTATCAGAGCATAGTTTATTTTGCTTAGCAGAGTTAGATAACATTTATCATGTACAAAACCATAATTAATTTATACAAAATTTAAGTATACTTAAATATAAAATACTTGGGCTATAGAAACTGTTCCTATTCTGTACAGTGAGGTTTTATTTGCCATAAATTATGCATATACA